TTTTTTTAAACTTCACATATAACTTAAGAACTGGCATATGAGTAGAGTCTTCAATTTTGTTTGAAGTTTTCTGCCCAAATTCAGTCCATTTTGTTCATTTGGACTTCATTGGGTTTAATGAGATATAGTTTAACCATTACTGTAAAATATGAGTTCAATATGTTGGGATATTATGGTATAAGCATACACACTAATGGAATCTTGTGTAACTTTTCAAATGAAACGGGATGTTGGGAAATGCATACGCTATCATGTTAAACACATAAAAGAAGAATAAGTATTTTGACATTTTCAGTGGTGGAGAAAATTGTGGATTTTTTTTTTTTTAAACTTCACACATAACTGAAGAACCAAATGGGCTGACTGGCATATGAGTAGAGTCTTCAATTTCTTTTAAAGTTTTCTGCCCAAATTCAGTCCATTTCGTTCATTTTGACTTCTTTGGGTTTAGTGAGATATAGTTTAACCATTACTGTAAAATATGAGTTAAACTCCTATAACTTGGTGAATAAATGCATCCTGTGTCATCACTCATGGTTGTGTTCTGCTCACCTCTCCAGGAGTGGGGACCGAGCTGCCCTCATCCGTTTGTCGGTGCCTTCAAACTTCAACACGACATGTCCTGGACTCCCATCGAACAGGTTGAGAAGAGAGACGCGGAGATCGCCATCATGGACAAACTCCTGAGTCAGCAGACAGCTCTACCCCCCCACATAGGACCAAACTTCAAAGGCATCACTGACTAAACGGACAGCTCAGAGCGGAATGGGCTCTGCCAAAAAAAAGGGGGGTTTGGTTGAAGGACACATTGGTCTTAATGGACTTTCTAATCCACACGTGGATTTAATGAGCGTGGGAGCTTTAATGACTCCTTCGCTGCCTTAAATATGTGTGTGACTACGGTTTAAATGTTGCACTTGAATAAATGGTGGTTGATGCTTTTTACAACTATATGAAACTGGAACTCTCGGAGAGACTGCTAAAGTTCTTTAATCCTTATTTAAGATGTAGCTGTATATTTGACTAACATTGAAAAGTAAACATTTCTGAAGTCAGTGCTTTGTCAAAAGTTTCTGTGAGAAGTGAAAGTCATTCAGATTCTGTATGTCTGTGTACGTTTCCACTGGCAACTGTTACAATTCTAAAATGCAGAACTTAAGATGTTTATCACGTCATAAAAACTGACCACAAACGGGAATATTTCCTCCAGGCCTCTCACTCTGTGTCTTTTTTACAGTACACAAGAAGTCAATGACTTCATGACAATTTCTAAAAGAAACAAGAGACTAAATGATTTATTTATTTTAATTTTAAAATTAGTCTAGACAATTATTATTTTAGTATGAACGCTGAGTCTTTTGGTGGGGGGTGGGGACTACTTTTTGTGGTTTAAAATCCAATCCGTAGAGCTCCTCCCGGTCAGCTGCCCCCCCCCTCCTGTGAGGACGTGATGGTGAGCAGGTAAGAGTTTAAGGGAGGGAGGAGCTCCCAGTTGTCGGTGGCGATGTCAAAATGGCTGGCATCCCTCTCCGGCCGTATTCTGAGCAGCACGTGGGACTTTGGCGGGAGGAAGATGGCGGCTTTGGACTCGTCTGCGTGGCTGGGGTCAGACACCAGGAAGCGGGCCAGGTGTTTGTCCACCAGGGCGCTGAGCGCCGCCCCCGTCAGCGGGCAGCAGAACAGGCTGAGGGCGCCCCCCCCGCCCGGGGCGCTCATGTCCCCCCACAGCCCCCGGAACAGGGCCAGGCGGCGGGCGGGGCCCCAGCCCCCCGGCGCCGGCAGCGGCAGGAAGCTCTGCTGGAAGGCCACGGGGAGGGGGGGCAGCGCGGCGTGCCAGGTGCGCCCGTCCTGGGCGGTGAAGAGGGCGCTGGCGAGCAGGGTGGTGGCGCCGGGCCGCCGCGGCCTCAGCCGCAGCCGCACGGCGGGGGGGGGGCGCCCCCGGAAGAGGCGCGGCACGCTGACGTCGCCCAGGGCCTCGTAGTGCTGGTCAGTCAGGCCGAAGTGGAGGCGGATGCTGTAGAGCCGGTCGAAGCCGGGGGGCGGGGCCTCGGTGTGGGTCAGGGTGTACCTCAGGGTTATGTGCGAGGAGAAGTCCGGTTCTCTGAACTGCGCTCTGTAGGCGTCCAGCGCCGCCTCCGCCTCGCTGGGACTGGCCTGGCGGGCGCCGGCGGCCTCCCCGCCCCCCCCCTGGTCAGCACCGGCCTCCCCCTGGTCAGCACCGGCCTCCCCCTGGTCAGCACCGGCCTCCCCCGGCTCGGCCCCGGCCTCCGTCAGCCGGCAGACGCTCTCCTCCAGCCGGTGCACGGTCAGCGCGCTGGTCAGCTCCTCGCTCTCGGCCACCAGGCAGGACAGCGAGCGCTGCTTCAGCTGGCGCCGGTCCTCCGCGGCGCCCGCCGCCAGCACGCCGGCCAGCTTCTGGCGGGACACGGTGGTCAGCAGGGCGTGGTAGAGGCGGGCGTGGTCCTGGACGTCCGTGTCCCCGTAGTGGCCGGCCAGGTGCCGCAGGGTGTGGGACAGCGGGGCCAGCAGGGAGTCCAGGTCGGGGTGGACCAGCAGGCGGCGGCAGACGGCCAGCACGGCGGCGCCCAGCCGCCAGCCGCCGCCGCCGCACAGCGAGGACGAGGAGGGAGTGACCACCCGCGCCAGGAAGGCCAGGGTGGGCTGCTGGCAGACCCCCCCCTCCTCCGCCACCCGGGCCAGCACCTGCAGGTGCCGGCTGAAGTCGGCCAGGGTCAGCCGGGCCAGCGGCGCCTCGGTGACCGCCCGCTGGACCGCCCGCAGCAGCTCCGGCGTCCAGTCGGGGGCGGGCGTGCGCTCCTGGACGCGGTCGGCCAGGTTGATGAGGTGCGGGGCCAGCTGCGGGCGGCGCATGTAGAGCCGGCACAGCCGGGCGGTCAGCCGGCCGGAGAAGCGCCGCACGTGGCCGAAGTAGAGCAGGAAGAGGAAGGCCGCCCGGAACGAGGTGACCACGGTCTCCCGGCCGCCGCCGCCGGCCTCCGCCACGTCCAGCAGCGAGGCCAGCAGCTGGTAGAGGTGGGCCGGGCCTCCGCCCCCCTCCTGGCCCCCCTCCGGCCCCCCCTCCGGCCCCCCCCCCTCGCCCTCCTCCAGGTACAGCAGGGCCAGCAGCTTGACCCGGGCCAGCAGCGTGTGGCCGTCGTTGAGCAGCGTGGGCAGCAGGGCGGCGGCCAGCCGCGGCGTGAGCGCCACGGGCGGGGCCTCCTCGCCCTCCCCGCCGCTGAGGGGCCGGTTCTCGGGGAAGTGCAGGATGCAGTCCATGTAGAAGAGCTGGTCGGGGGGGCTGAGCAGGGGGTGCTGGGACAGCACCAGCAGCCGCCGCAGCAGGAAGTCCTCGTCCTCGCCGCCGAACAGGCTGTCCGTGAAGGAGGCCTTCAGCAGCAGGGTGCTGTGCAGGAGGCAGACCTGGGGAGGGGGGGGGACACGCACCCTTTTAGATATTTTAGATTTGCATGCCTCTCATCGCCATACACTAATAATTAACTTGGCCTAAAAACTGAAAACAACCAGCCAGGATCAGCTTTACTTTATCAGTGCTTGTCAATACCAGTATTAGCTGTGTGACATTCAATTCCAGCCCCAAAAGATGGTAGAACGTAGTAGAGAATACTAAAATAAAATAAAAATTTAACGGAAAATTATATTTCTCATTCACAGCAGAGCATAGAAACCTGTTTGGGATTGTAGATTTTTTTTGTGTTAAGTGGTAACATGTGATTTGGAAACAAATGAGAAGGTTTTGAAATCTGGTTTCGCTGAAAGGCCTTAAAAACACTTCCTGAAATATCTGTCCATAACATCTCAAATGTCACATAAAAAGCTTTATAGTGGAAAGATGCCAAATTTCAAATTCTTTTAGCAAAACTAAGGATGAACATTCTGCTTTTTTTTCTTCTTTCTATCACTTTAAGCCATCTCTCATGCCATGAGGGTCAGTGACAGATGGTACAAGTGGGCTATCTAAAAATAACTAATAAACACTAATTCAAACTAGTGTATTACATTTTGTGAAATTTCAAAGAAAATTTCAACAAAACTGGTCATTCCAAAGGGCTAACTTCTCCCAGCCCTGTTCAATGAAACTGCATCTAATAGTCCAGAGCCTTTCATCAGGATCTGATCTTCACATCTGTTAAGATTTTGAGTCTTTTATTTGGTTCTGACAATAGCAGTCTGCAGGGAGGGTTTCTAATATTCGACAGACACTGACCTGGCTGGTTCCCAGCAGCCGCAGCAGCTGGGCCCTGAATATGGCGGGGGGCACGGCGGGCACCATGGCCACCACCTCCGTGAGGGTCAGCAGCAGCGCGGCCTGGCACGGCGGGGTCAGCAGGTAGGAGTCCTCCAGCAGGGAGGCCAGGACTGACCGCAGCTCTTTGCAGTCGGGGCCGGTGTGGAGGGTGGGCAGGCTGCCCGTGGGCCCCGGGGTCAGCGCGGTCAGCGTGGCCGGGCCCCGTTCCTCCTCCCAGGAATCCGACGCGTTCCCCCCCAGAAGCGCTTTCAGCTCCTCGGCCCCCGCCCCCGTCTCCCGACCGAGCTGGTGCACGGCGTTCCGGAGCGCCAGGCTCTGCACCCCCGCCAGGGCCTGGTGCAGCCTGGAGGTCTCCCTCTGCCGCAGCCCGTCCAGCAGCTCCAGCCGCGGGGAGAGCAGGCCGGGGCAGCAGGCCTCCAGCTCCCTCAGGCAGGCGCAGGCGCCCGCCCGCAGCCTCTGCTGGCCGCCGTCGCCCGGGAGCTCGCCGGGGTCCCCGGCCGTCTCCAGGAGCAGGCTCAGGAAGTCCAGGGAGGCCTGGGAGCGGGCGCCGGCGCACGAGGAGCAGACCAGGACGCACGTGATGGCCACCAGGAGCTGGCAGCGAAACTGGAGGGACTTGGGAGGGCACTGGGCCATCACGGACATGAGCTCCAGGGCCGTTTCCTCTCCCACCGAGTCCGAGAGGCACAGCAGGGTGGGATGCTCACAGAGTGGAGCCAGGAGGAGGACCTGGGACACGCCAAGACAGAGGTAAACATCACAAATAAGCAAAGGAAACACATACTGAGAGGAACACAAACTCACTGCCACACACTTCTGTTTCAGTGGCAAAGCTAAGGGTCGTTAAAGGTCCCCTGCTGTCGTGCGCATGCGCGAAAGGTTCAGGAGCCCTTTGGCGACCAGTGGCTGGTTATTTTTGCATTATTATTCGCTCCATTTTACCTTGAGGCTGTAGCTGGCCCTGTCATCGCGCAGCTCCCGGAGCAGCTCGGCGAGGAAAGCCTCCGCGGTGGTCCCGGACAGGAAGCGGGACGGGCTGAGGGAGAAAGCGGCTATCCTCTCGGTCCAGTTTAACGTCATGGTCGCTTAGACTTCAAAACTTCGGCCTCAACTCATGACTATCCCCATGGACATCGCTACCCATAAACTTTCACTGTAAAAGTACTTAAACATAACCTTCGACAGTGCTCGAGTATGCCGAATCCTTTTACGGAACAATAAAAAGTTCCGTATTGTGTCACGTGAGTCTTTGGGAGTGACAGCGCCCCCTGCTGTTCCGGAGGGGTGACCACTGAAAACAGGCCCAGTAGAAATGGGTTTTAGAAATGTGATTAAAATAAATATGACATTATGGCAACACTTGTTATATAGAATGCAAACATAAGTTACATCATATTTCTATTCCCCAGGGTAAAACTTTCTGGGCGGTGAGCAGCATAAAAGCTCATGTTTCCTTGGAAATTTTTTTGGCAACCCCTGGCCAACAACCCATGATTTTACATTTTTAATCATTTTTGACTGTTTGTGGTTAAAAGGATGATGTATATGGTATATATGCCTTCCTCCCCTCTCACAGTCACTTCAGTGCAGGTTTGAGGCCAGATGATGAGGCTTGAACAGAGGAAAGCCTCAGGACCGGACATGTCCCCCCAAGGCTTCTGAGGACCTGTGCAGAGGAGCTCTGCAATGCAAATCTATACGTAGTTTAGTCATTTGATAATGCTAGTTTTACTTTTACTGGAAAAATATTTTGGCCAGCAGGACCTGTACTCAAATAATGGAACTGAGTACTTTGTCCACCACTGATCATAAATCATTATGATAGTTAACTTTTTAGTATGAATGAAAGTGAATTGCTGTAGGTTTTTATTTTTCGTTTTCGTTTTTTTGTTTTTCAGCTTGTTTTGTTTTTTAGCTTGCTGTCAAGCATCAATGGTCCCAACCACTTGATGGCGATAATGGGCTATAGAGTTTATTGCCAACTGTTATATGCACCAGTATGATTGAAAGTGAATTGGTGTAGGTTTTTATTTTTCGTTTTTTCGTTTTTTAGCTTGTTTAGTTCTTTAGCTTGCTGTCAAGTATCAATGGTCCCAACCACTTGATGGCGATAATGGGCTATAAAGTTTATTGACAACTGTTAATATGCACCAGAAGAAGAACCGGAAGCAGCGGAGCAGGCGAAGAAGAAGAAGAAGAAGAAGGAAAAAGAAACAGGCGCGTTGGAGACATGGCTGTCACTCAATTTCTCAGCAATGCTGAATTGTTAAAACAAGGGGCGGAAGCTCGCTTGTACCGAGCGAACTTTTTAGGGAGGTCGGTGGTTATGAAAGAACGATTTCCGAGACGCTACAGACACAAGGAGATGGACGAAAAGCTAACGCACCGCAGGACGGTGCAGGAGGTCCGCTCCATACTCCGCTGCCGGAGAGCAGGCAAGTCCTCCAGCCGCTGTAACGTGGTAGCACTGCTCTACACACACCCCCGTAGCCCCAAAAAGCTCAAAATGGTAGAAATTAGCAGCCTCCATCTGATGCTAATAGTCAGTTGTGTATCCTTTTTGCTAGCTAACTGCTTGCACTCGTTTATTGTAGTGCGTAACTCGTCTCTGGCACATTCCCGATGAATCCCAGCCCAATTGTTTCGGGGAAAATCTTTCAAACTCTTTAAAATGTGAAAGTTTTATAGCACAGACCCTAGTCTTCAGTGCACCTCAAAGATTTTCAGTGGGATTCATTTCACTGTGGTTATATGGAGGTAGCTCTTCGGCAAGATCAATGTTTGTTTTTGGGTCGTTGGAAGACAAAGCCACGACCCAGACCCTGTTTTGCTGCCCGTTGCTTGCTGTTTTCTTTCAAATCTTTCATATGTCCTACTTTTCTTCAACCTTGATGAGATTCCCAGTTCCAGATGCACTGAAGCATCCCCACAGCATGATACTCCCTCCACCGTGTTTAACTGTGGGGACAGTGTGGGCTTAATAAGGGAGAGGCGTATAACCCAAACATAGGCAAAAGAGCTTGAGTTTGGTCTATCTGACCACAGAAGTATGAATAACCCCTCTCCAGATTATCCTTAGCATACTTCAGTCTGGCTTTAAGGGGTTTCTTCTGTAGAGGTTTAGTTTTTCTTGGCCTGCATCCTGTAGAGTCCAGTGACTGTCTTGTTTGACACTATACCTGACTTGGCTAAGTCATTAACTAGTGTTTTGGTCGTTGTTCTAGAGTCTTTAGTCACATCTCTCACTAGTTTTCTTTCCAGTCTTTGAAATCTTTTGCTTCCTTCCTCTGCCAGACTCGTTCTGTACTGTGCGGTTCTCTTTGAATTTCTTGATGATACTTCTCACTCCACTTCTTGACACTTGAAAACGCTGGGATATCTTTGTATATCCATCAACTATTATTTTTCTTACATCTAAACTGAAATCTTTTGTTTTTTGAATGATGCTTTTTCGAGTTTTTACACTGTGTGACTTGTAGGACAATGCTTAGTTTCGCCTTGATTCAAATAAATATATTAAATAAAAAACAAAAAAGGTTGGTTATTAAGGGGGCTAAACATTTTGACCCGGGTAGTTTTTGGTTTTACTGAAATAATTTGATTTCTATGTGAAATGTTAATAATCTAAGCATCCAAAATATAAGTAGGATTTGTAGAAAATTAAAAACAAATACTGATCTGTTTAACAGCACTGAAATATATGAAAAACTAAAAATGTCATGATGGGCGGTTGATAGATAGATAGATAGATAGATAGATAGATAGATAGATAGATGTGTGTGTTAGTAATACTGGAGACTCTGAAACATTAACACAAGTTTGTTTGTTTTTTCTTCCCAGGGATATCTGCCCCAGTGGTCTTCTTTGTGGACTACACTTCTCATTGTATTTTTCTGGAGGAAATTGCAAGTTCCTTGACCGTGAGAGACCACATCATGTCTCACTCGCAGTCCCCGTCCACGCCAAAGCTGGAGAGGCTGGCTGAACAAATTGGGCAGATTTTGGCCAAAATGCACGATGAGGATGTCGTCCATGGAGACCTGACCACCTCCAACATGCTGATAAGAATCGGCCCGGAGGATTCCGGGTCGGACCTGGTCCTGATTGACTTTGGTCTTAGCTACATTTCGGCTCTGCCAGAGGATAAGGGCGTTGACCTGTTTGTTTTAGAGAAGGCTTTCCTCAGTACTCATCCTAACACAGAAAAGTTATTTGAGACACTGCTTGCAAGCTACGCTAAATCCTCCAAGAAGTCACCAGCAGTCATTAAAAAGCTTGATGAGATCCGAATGAGAGGAAGGAAAAGGTCCATGGTGGGATGATTATACATGTACACATGAACACTTCTGGACTTGTTTTGTTTTGATCTCACAGTGTCTTAATAATGTTCATCTTCTATGGAAAGCAAAAGCCTAAAATAAATACTTACAGTTATTAGAATGTTACTGTTCTTCCCTATTTACACTTCTGAGGACGGGTATGTTTTAGGCAGTTGATTTTGAGTGATGGGACACAAAAACAAGTGTTTTTTTATTAATAATATAAGAATCTTTTTACCCCAAAAGTTAATTTTAGAATAATTCATTTATATCCATCAACCAAATTCTTTCAACTTTGTTATAGATTTAATTATAATAGCTGGAATAGACTGAAACATTCATTTTTTTATACTATATTTGTAAATACTTGGAAGATTTTAATTTCAGGTGTTCATCTAAATGTACTTCTCATTTAACAAAGATAGTGTTCTGACATTGGAGAACTGTTGACATGATTGACCCTTTAATGGACTAGTTATACTTGGAATGTTCTTTAGTCAAAATCTATTTCTATTTCTTGAGGAGATGTTCAAAAAATAAAATCCACTAGTGGAAGAAAATTAGCTGAGAACTTGAAAATAGCATAGCTTCAAATCTGAATAGGAAAGAAAAAAAGATTTATAAAGGTGCACTTCTTTTTAGTTTGAGCTCATCTTTTTGGTTGAAGATCAACAACTGACTTTCAGTATCAAATATTTTATTCATTATCAACATCAACATTTCTTCAGTTTAGATTTACATACATCATGACCCCTGTCCAGCTCCATTCAGTCCCCTCCAATGTGGAATACGAACCTAGATGACTATTTTCCATCATATATTCAGGCAGTTTGATTTAAAAAAAAAAGGACAGAAGAAAATAAATGACTGATTTAACATCCTGCACTGCAGTAGTTCCTCTGATCAGGTGAAATCTCGGTTTGTGAGGATCATCGGAGCCACCAGGGTCCACGTGTAGATGGCCAAACACAACCAGCTGGACGTGATCTTCACCCACACTGTGGGCCACTTGCTTAGAACGGTGAAGTCTGCATCGGGGCTGTAAATAAAGAAACAAAACACACAACTCAAAAATATGACATCAGTGGTGTCTCAAAGGGGGCTCTCTGGTTTTATAGTCTAGGTATGAAATACTAAAGAGCATGTTGCTTAATAATCACTATTTTAAACTTCTGTATTACTCAAAGAGATTTTACCTAAATGCCTAAAATGCTTCAAATAGATTAATATAGTCCCTCTCTTTTAAAGATGAGAAAACGCACTTCCCACATGTCCCTTAAAATACCTCAGATAGAGGATCATATAGATATGGTTGATTTCAGCACAGTTAATGAAAAGGTAAGTATTATCACCAGAGATGAAACCCGGCATCTGGTGATGTCTGTGTTCCAGACTTCAGGCTGGAATTGACAGCAAAAGATTTCCAACCAAGTCAAATTGAACGTTTAATTTATCATTGTCAATGTGTCCCATTACTTTTGGTCCCATAAGGTGGAACGCTTACATCCAAACGATTGTAATTCCTACACCGTTTGGATGTAAGCTCTTAAAGCTGAAATTCTGCAGTTAAACCACATCTAGTTTATTTTATCTCAAATCCACTGTGGTGGTGTACAGAGTAAAAAAAAAAAGAGAATTGTGTCGATGTTCCAGTATTTATGGACCTGAGTGTAGTCGCTGTGAAGCTTTAAGGAATCTGCGTGATGACCCTCATGAGAAAGGTTGGAACATCCTCAGTTCATGTTATGGGATAGGGTTAGGGTTAGGGTTGTACCGGCTAAGATTGTGATTATGGCCAGTGTTTCAAGTCCCTCCACGGGATGTTAGCTAGGCCTACTGCAGGTCATCCTGACTGGACTGAGGGTTACTTTTGCAAGTGGTGCAGCTACATTGCCACATTTTGAAATGTAACTGAGGATAGTTAGGGCGCATTCTTTTAGCTTAAGAAGATGGTTGCGTGACAACATTTTAAACCTCCATATAACGTATACAAGATGTTTTGAAAAAGAAACAGTGGCCTACTGACTTATTTATCTGGCCCATTCCCCATGGCCAGTGAGGGGAAATGGCCAGTGTTGGCGTTCGAGGTCAGGGGTATTGTTAATGTAACCCCATCACAGTTTGATGGAGGAAGGATAATGCGGTTCATTGAAAAAGAATGCTCTGTTTCAGGTGGGTTTAGAGTTTTGTTTGGTTTTTATTTGATTGCAAATTTTTGTTCTTGATGTGTCGGGAGAAATGTCACTAACCTGTACCAGTTTGTGACGGTCATCATGATGTAGAGTGAAGCCAAGAAGAGCATGAAGTGGGAGAAGGAATAGCTGTATCGCACACTCTTCTGCTCATTGTCTGATGGGTCAGTGCTGCTGACCCCCTCAGCCAGGATGGCCGAGTCTTTGAAGGCCACAGTCAACTTGTTGAACTGGCTAATGTTGGATGAACGGATGCTGTTGACAAAACGGAGATGCCTGAAAACTTTATGCAAACAAAATTACAGGCAGTCCTCTGAAGTGAGTTACATTTTTCTCAGATGTTGGGGACTTAAAAATCTGAAAAATTCAACAAATGGAAGTCCATTTGATTTACATAGCAACAACTGAGAAGATATGTCAATACATCCCTAACCTAAACCAAAGATACATTCAAGTTTAAGCTAATTTCATCATAAAGTCATACATTAGAAATAAGAATTTTATCAGTATTATTATTACAACTTTCCTATCCAACAGTAAGTGAAAGTCTGATCATAAAATAAATTGTGCTTTAAATAATAAGGTTTTTTCTTATTTACGTACATATACTGTATATATAGACATAGTAGTAGTAATATAGATATAGAATCTATATTACATATTGATAGACAGGCTTCAAACGTTGAAAATACATTTGTAAATGTGTGAATATTTACCTGGAATAAAGAATGCACAGGACAAAAAAGATGAGCCCCAGAATGGTTTGGGCGTCCCACCACCTCAGGTATGGTGATGTCAAGATGGGTTCTTCTGTTCCAATGATCACCACAGAGGTTTGGTTCTCTATGTCCATGGGGGGGGTCGTAGGGGATGTGATCTGCTGTATGAGAATGACCAGACTGGGGTTGCAGTTTTGGTCTGAAGAAAGAGGGAACATATAGCCACTTACAATTTCTGAAAACCAATTTACATCTCTGATCACGTTGAGTATTGACGAAACAAAGAATTTAAAACAAAGCTTTTGAAAATCTGTGAAAAGATATGAAATACAAGTTGCAAATTCCATGAACAATGCATGTTGGTGCACACACACAGACAAACTTGACATTCCAAAACATTTTGTTTGTTTATTAGATATATATACTATATATTTGACGGTGAAGCAGCCTATAGTAAAAAGATTTTGAGTCACACTTTGGTTTACATTGTCTTTCAGCCACAAAACTAATTATATATCTGATATGTATATCAATATGGGTCAAATGAGATTTTGGCTTCATATTAACATAAAGTAAAACAGGGTACAAAGTGGTACATTGCAACCAGCCTGTTTAATTTGCAACAGGTGGTATTGGCCCAATATTCCAAATTGCTCCAACAATGCACACCTCTTTGTAATTTTAATGCATGATCTGAACTTACTTGAACTTACTATGAACTGAAACTCTTGGTTGTGCTCGTTTCAAAAGCATTGGCTGTATAGATGTACGTGTGTGTGATTATATATATATATATATATATTGTGAACACAGGTTTTATCCTTTGTTTGCAAAGCAGTGCTAAATGTGGAGAGAGGCCAACACTAACATAAATAGCCTGTTTAACATTTGTTAGGGTAAATCTGCAATCAAACGCATTGACAGGCTTGGGGACAGATACACCAATGTGTGTAATGCAATTATGCTTGATAAAACTTACGTTTTTACAGCTCGACAAAATACATTTGTGATTTGTGGTGAGAGGACAACTAGAAATAGATTGGGATGTATGACTATGACCACCCAGGGATCTCCAGTGATTAAAGCAATCTGGAAGGGGTTTGCAAAGTGATTTTTTTCTGGAACAGACTGAGCAAGCTAACACATATTCGGGTTCAGAATCTTGATTCTGGACCAACGAAAAAACCCCGCTGGGGTGGTACCAGGATGGCAGTTGAGTGTGGTGGTGGGATCCCAGTGTAGAACTGCAGGACAGACTGAAACAGGGATTTGGGGGAACGTTTCTTGAGCCAGGGTAGACTGAATCTTAACAGTTAACTCCTTGTAACTGTACAGGTCAGTTGTTGGATTCTGTCTGGTAATGTAGCTCAGGTCCGGGGGCTTGTCTGTAATTGAGCCTTTTTTGGGCATGTTGGTGGTAGGTGAGATTATTGAGGTTTGCTCAGTAAACCAGTGCCACTACTCCACTACTACAAGTTCATTTTAAAGCCCACGGTTCTGTTACCAACATCATACAGCCATTTTGGATCCATTCAGGATGAGACTGCAACAGAAGAATAAATAATATAGTTACTCCTTCTCCTAGAATATTTGAGAGCGAATAGCTTCAATCCCTGAAAATGAAGTGTCAGTCTCCATGAATAACTGCTAGATCTGGTTGCACAAGAACTGGAGCTAAAATTAGTCTGATCTTTCACTGCATCGTCTTCACGGGATTAAAGTAAAGGCGGTTTAGTGGAAATGTTCTTAGTAAAGCTACCTGACTGTGTTTGTAGATCATTCTGGTAGACGTTAGCAAACCTGAGGAATCTCTGGTGCTTTTTTTTTTTTCTGAGATGAAACCAGCCAGTCGGTGCCTGCCTTGATTTTGTTTGGATCTGCCTTCACCTGTCCAGCCTCAAAGTGACTGAAGAAAATAACGAAATTCTGACTCCTTTGCTTTCACATAAAGCCAATTTTTCAGGCTGTACAAATCAAATCACAGAAGTTCAAGAGTAATAGTAATACTGAAGACAAAATGGAGATTTTGCTTCTAGAATATATAGTTTCCTTTAAACCTCCAATCTCAGAGACAATTATTTATACAAAATGTTCAAATAAATCCTGAAAGAGTGAAGGTTTGATTGACTGATCATTCCTTTGTTGGTTAAATGCCCTTACTAAAACTCCCTACTTATCTTGATACAGGCCACATTGTCTCCACTGCTAGCAACCTGAAATCCTCCAATCCTGCAACTGTCTAATTTCCGGGTTTAACATTTAATAGCTTCTTTGAAGCATTTCCCTCTTCAGTGTGTGATAGAACATGCTCTTAAAATCCTCATCAAATGAATCAAACAAGTAGGATTCTATGCTATGAGTAGTGGAAAAGGTTAGGACCCAAGCTACTGCGTTTCCATGTGAAAGGCCAATGAAGTAAGAAACTTTTGACCATCCAGGTCATCAGAATATAGCTTAGGGGAGGGTGACTAGGATGGGTGAACTGGCATCCAGGAAGATGGGCTTGGGAAGGACATGGTGATTGGGTGTAGTGTAGGTTGATGGTAGAGGATTAATGGAGGTCTGCCTCCGAGAGTAGATATTCACTAAGGCTTTGCATTAGATCAAAAATTTGCTCCTAGCAATGGCTGTTGACTGATTGTTGATCTCTCAAAGCACACATTGTGTGTCATCCTCTCAAACATTTATCTTCTTGTTTAAAAAAGGTGGACTAAAAGCGATTCAGAGTAATCAGTGAGAGGCAAAAATCAAGACTACCAGAGGCTGGAACTGATCTGATAACCTCCTGCTGCTTCTCAGGAAAAACTCCAGAGGAAGTGTACAGAAACGGGAGCTGTTCAGCAACTCTAGTGGCCAGCTCAATTAAACCTGCCACCACGGCACAACACAACAAACAAAGAACTCACATCTCTAACTTAGAACACATACTAGAAAAAGCTGAATCCAGGAGAATAAATGCAATGTTGCTTATTGAATCATCCAAAGTTTACACTCAGTGACAGGTCATACACACATGGAAGACAGAGACTTCCAAAACACCATTGCTCCATGGCTAGTGGATCTGAGATCTGAGTGGATCTCTAACGAACTGGTCTCCATCTAGACTGGTAGATAAACAGTGGAACTGAAGATCTTAAAGAGCCTCTGAAACAGGCATTTCTATTAAGGTACTGACCAATACTACCTCTTAATAAGGTGAAAGGTACTATGCACTATGGCCGAATACAAAAACAAGTCCTAGAGAGGGATTGACAGTGACACCAGAAGGGTGAAACACCAGCTATTGGTTGACAAAACTGATGCCCAAGGTAGTAAGATCAGACATATGCTACTTAGAAAGGAAATGACTCACTGCTGGAATGCTTGTAACTGCACAATATCAACAGGACATTAATGGCCCTTTTCCATTGGCATCTATTCAGCTCTACTCACTTTACTCAACTCACCACAGATTGGTTCAGGTTGTTTTCCACTAGAAGCCAGGCCGTAACAGCAAGACGCACCAAATTACCCTCTACATGTGACACAAGCATGACATAGCAGTAAAGAACTTGCAGGGACGATGCATCAGTTGAACCACATGGTTTAGTGATATGTCGGTTTTTAGTAGGAGGCATCACAGAATGAATTACAAAGCGCATGTTTGTTGTTAGCAAGTTTTTAAATAGCCAAAGTTCTCACGAAGGAGTCGATTTCATTAAGATAACTGAGAGTCAAACACACTAACTTGTCCATGAATTGGACTCAAAGGGCTGCATCTATTCTGTCCCCACTGCTATTGTGCATAGGCTGGAATCCGACTTGTAAAGTGGAAAACACGAAGTAAGAAAATGGAAGTATAAAGATATAAAGACCAGAAAGGTCATCGCAATGGATATCAACTCCAGCACGCTGACATTTTGGGTGCTTGTGAGCATCAGATCCATGATCCAGAATAAAATAACATTTATCCAGGAATTCATTGGTAAACGAGCTCAATGATCTACTGAGTGAGTGTAGGGCAGCTTAGTGCAAAGCGATAAGAACTGCAAAGGCGATGTTTATATTTTCCAGGTGTAGCTCAAGGTGTAGTTCAGCATGAATGAACTAAAACCAGAAGAGTAGCTAATCAAAATGTTAGATGAGTCCAATTTATGAGGTACAAGGTGAAAACAGTATTTCGAATAATTTCACACATTGTTTTTATACTGTAAATAAAATGATAGTCTACTGTCTACATTCAGTCTAATAATTCTAGGAACTTATGAATCTAAAACAGGATTCTCACCAGGTTCGTTGCTCATGGCGGACCATGTTAGAAACATGGTATACAGGGTGATGAAGGAGGACTGGAGTAAACCCGACCGGGGCTGAAACTCCTGGGGGATACAGACAAATGACACATTCATCAACAATTGCTGCAATTTGACGCGCTGCATGAGCAACTGCATAATCCAGAGCCTAAAGCAAACATAACATCTGAAAGTTGATAGGCAAATTTGATTTCAATCTTCTTACAGGAGGTAGTAGTATGAACCTGTACGGGAATGCAAAAAAAGGGGCAATAGTGTCCACAATCTATAGAGAGGTAGATTAGAGGTGGAAATCTGCATAACCTACCTTGCATAATATTGAATTGAATTGAATATACTTTATTGATCTCCAGGGAGAAATTGACTAATAGATATCACTGGAAGTGTAGAGAAAGGACATCATCCTTTTTTAAGAAGCTTATTATCCTTACTGTCTGAACTAGGGTGTTCTATATCTGTACCCTCTGGCACAGGGTAAAATAAGCAAAAAATAAGAAATAACAGATCAAAGAACCTTTTATATGCCCCATGAGAAACTGATAATAAACTAATAATAATAATAATAATGAGCAGATAATGAAACTAAGGCGTGAGGAGCCACACATATTTTCTCACCACAACCCTCTTCATCATATCATATTCCATAAGAAGCCATATACAAAGAGTTTAACCATTTTTTTGCAAACTGGAAGCAGGATGAGAAAATATAAGTTGACCGAACTACGTGTGGGATACCTATGAGCCATTTTGCTTTGTTACACAATTTTTTTGTTCAAATTTTTTTATATTCTGACGTATTGAGGTATTACATATGTTTGTATGTAGCAACTTGTTTCTATAAACCTTCAGCAAAGTAAAATGACTTTAATTACAATTTTGCTTGAAGACAATTAATATGCAATATCTGATCATCCTTCATGCTTTTAACACAAAAGGTATGAATAAACCCATCTTCAAGTTGAAATCTTTTTTTGGTACAGTCATTAATCAATATTGCAAAACAGCGCCTCAAAATTTAATAAAAATGTGTTTTTCGATTGCTTTATTTTCTCCAATGAATGAGACTCGCACTTCAGACAATTCTAGTTTCAGGAGTTGTATGATATATTGTTATACTATTTGATACATGTAGACAAACAGACTTAAGACTGGTACAATGAATTGTGTGTAATAAAGCTCACTTGTAATTTCATGATTAAGGAAGAACTGGAAACTGAAATCAGAGAAGGGAGAATGATGAACTTCAGACTTTTCCTAGGGGAGCATTATTGATTCATTTTGCACCATTTGCTTTTCAACCAGACATGTCTTTATGTGTCTGCGTCTTTTTATTTTTGGTTCAGTTGACTCTTTGATACCCCCTAACCAGTGAACATTCAGAATCTTTAGTCGTCAGTTTGTTGCAGGGCCTACCTGAACTTTATCCAGTACAGAAATCACCGAGGCCACCATGCAGAGTAGCATGTTGAAGCTGATAAAAAACTTGTTGAGGAAGCATCCGTCAGGCTTCGTGTAGAAATGGAAGAACAGCCCCACAGCAGTAAATGATATGATGTAGTTCAGGATCATGACGGCCAGTAACGCTAAAAACAGAGAGTATGGAAATATCAATTCAATCATTCAAAAAATAATGCTCCGTTATTATTAAATCATTCATATTATCAGTTTTTTAGGTTTGAAGATCTTAACAGTTTATGAAATACAATGATATAGATTGGTGGCATGGCTCAGAAATGTCTGAGATCCCCCTGCCTCAGAACAATTATTTAGAATAATCTAAATCAATTTGATTTGTAGTTAGCCAGACACTTTAATGACATTATTATCTTGGGATATTACATTTGAACTAGATTCCTGACACCTTATTATTTAAGCCAGAGAGGTTACATGCATATTTCTGTTTTCCGGATAGCTCCAACTTCAACCTTTTCTTCCAATTCTATCCCAAGAAAACATGGTTCAAATATTCTTAAATTGGACAATTGTGATTTTAGCCTGGTGACCACTAAGATGATGGATTGCAAGATGGTGTTAGCAGTGTTGGAAGTGGTAAAGGTAAGTGTAAATGTTGGTGTAGATTCTCAGCCATCCATGGCTGAGAAAAGGCAGTTGGACTTCTTGGGTCTCGAAGACATTTGACTTCTCGTCAAAGTTTTCACTTTTTAGATAATAACATCTACTATGCTGAGAAATCATTATTTTGTGCTTCTGTTATTTTTAATCTGCTGATTGTTATCATGACACATGGGAATACTATCTACCATGTCCCATGGTGTTAACGTCTGATTATAAAGCTTTGGTTCAGAATTGAAGTCTTTATTCAGCAGGGAGCAGTAAGTGAGTACCAAATATTAAATGCATGACGTCTGCCTTTTGGCTTTGATTTGTTGATGTGGTGTTGTTCTGCCAGGTTTACATCTAAGACCTGTATTCAAGGCCTGTTGAAGATGACTTTTTTGTCACTAAATGTAGAAAACATTGAAGTTAATAGGGGTTTACAATTATTCCCAAATGACTGACCTGCGTACCAGCCCCTGGAGTTGCCGTTTTCCATCTTTGCCACCCAGGACTCGTTCCAGGAATGAGCAAAGTCCACCAGCAGCACCAGCTGGATCAGAATGAAAAAGAAAGCTCCACAGGAGCCGATGACAAACCATGCTGTGGTGGCACATGGCCAAAGGGGTTATTTCAATGACTGCTCTATCATGTATATAAGCATCTGAGAAACCAACAATTTCGAAAAAAAAAAGGGAAAATATCTTACCGTAGATAAAAGGTATATCAGGAATGTGAAAGGCGCCGACTGTGATTGCCACCAATGCAACAAATTTGAAGAACCAAAATCTGAAAGCACATTTCCTTGTATCATAAATCACTACTTTGACAACAACAAAAAAGATCAGTTCATAGAAATTTATTTTGCAGAGGTGTATAAAGAAAACAACAGTGACAGAAAAAGCTTTTGAGGGGTTTATGAGGGGTTCCCATGTAATCTGTAAAGGCGTCATGTGAGCAGTATTAGCATAAATAGTGCAGTTTCAACCTTCATTTTATGGGATGCTTCTTTGTTAACCCTTCCAGAGATGTGAGACAATCAAGATTTGGTTATGAAATTAATTAATTATTGTCTTTATTGCTATTGCTAGGCCCTTGATATCAACTCTACTAATATGGACAGTGGTGGGTGCATGGAATTTACTAAATTGTGTGTTAAATGTACCGAGGAATGATAGAGCTGTAGATGGACTAATCATATGCAAGATCAACCAAGGCAGAGGCCAAATTAAGCAAGTTTAATGATAATATGAAACTCCTCTTTAAACCTTTTGATCATTTGTTTCTATCTAGTTTAAAAATCAGATAACCAATTATCATACAACCTAATACATTTTGTTTTTGACGGAAAAGAAAGTTTTACTCCTATTCTTGTTACCACGTGAAAATGACAAAAACCTTGCTAAAAAAGCTTAAATTAAGCGATGAAATGCTGAATTGGGACGGAGGGCCCTGTCTGGGTTATCCTCCCAAAGTTTTCTTTACTCTGCATGGATCGGTTTCTCACATTTGGACTCTGAGGGGCTTCTGAGACTCTTCCGACCTTTGGTTGGCATCCGTTGTTAGCTCTGTGTTGTCATCCTCCCACCCCTGCCCATTACACTGGAAAAGGGGGGATCCTCACAATCTGAGGTCAGTATTGTCCTGCTACTGCTGTGTTAAGATGAGCTCTCCTCAGGATTAGTTGGGTGAATGCCAGATCCATGATGAACAAAACTTTCATCCGGAGGGATTCCTCACAGATCATCGGTTGAGTTTTCCTGTGCATGGGTAAAACCCAAACGTCGCCCAATGAGTCTAGGAACTTCTTTAAACCATGTTTTAGTATTTTAATTCCCCATGGTCCTAGTCCTGCTTAAATCCAGTTTTTTCATTGTCCCACTCAGAAATATGGATGCACGTGGACCTTGTTTTATCTTGTGATTTATCCACTCTTAATTTGAAAAAAACCTTAATGATGTGTTTTTAGATGATATGCTGATTTTACTTGATAAGTTCCAGTTTGTAAAACTGTCAAACTGTGTACTCCCAGTCCAACATTTCCATGTTCCTAAACCTTCATTTATCTGCTACTATTGCTTATGAAGCCCGTAACGTCTTCCAATATTAATCCTAACCCTAACCCTAAAAAGCTATTATTAATTCTATTCAACCTACCAAACAACTTTTAGATATCAAGAAATCTAAAAAAAAAATCAAATTCTAGATATCTCTTTAAGCTATCCTCTTTTTGTCCAAACTCCTAGAAAATTGTTTATGTCCAACTGTAGTTTCAACCTAGATGTGTTTCAGTATGGGTTTAAAATCACAAAGCAGAGTCTGCTCTTCAGTTATATTTTCTTTTGCAACCAACTGATAACTGTGATCTTTTTCTATGCAAGCAGGCAGATTGAAAATAGTAAAGGTCCAAGAATGGAGCCCTGCAGGACTCCAGCAGTTGAACTCACGAGAAGTTTGAAATTTCAGAGTGGAAAAGTATTCTGTTCTATTTCTTAACACCTCAGGAAAAAGAACAAATTTGTCAGAGTATGTGACAGCATTAACTCCTTACATATGCACACACATGTTGTATTTGTATGTATTGTCTCATTTATCTCTTGATGTCCACTGTATGTACATTATAGGTGGTCTGAATTTATATGTAGATGGTTGTTTTTTCCTTCTGTTAACCAGCTGGCTACTTTCAGGGGAAACATTGAGTAATTGTGGTTTTGAGAGTGTTGGTGTACATTTTTGATTATGGTGTGGGAGTTTCTGAGTTAAATAGTCTTGTATTATAATTAGGAGTGTTTTGTTTTGATTTGTATTAATCTTGTTTAACTTTGTTTTGTATGGAGCCTCAAAAATAAGATGCTTTATCTCAAAGATCTATCCTTGAAATAAACTTAAACTTAAACATGTGGGTGGATTTATGTTGGCTTCATATTTTGTTGCAACCGTCATGTGTTGAATGAAGAGGTGAGAGGGTGTGTGGTCTGAGGATATCATTAATAGTGGTGACGTACCAATAAGGTTCTTGAGGCATATGGTTAAAATCAGGGCCTTCTTGGCTTGGGGGGTTCCTTTAGTGTTTAGTGTTTTCATTAACTCCCATCCATTCATGCTCTTTTTCACATCTTTATGGTGCGATTGCAGTCTTACCCGTTGTGGATGAAGGCACGGGGGTCTCTGCTTGTCTTGATGTTAATCATAAGAATGGAAAACCCAAGGTACCACATACCCAGGCCAAAACAGATACGGTATACTGCTTTATATCCCACAAACATTTCACAGTTGAAATGTGGTTGAAGGCCTTCGAAAGAGGAGTCTGCCCCATCCACACAGAAGCCTGGAATCTACGAGAAATCACACAAAAACCCGTATAAGCCGAGCTACGATATGAGATTTCCTAGTTGAACCTCATTGAACGGAGGATTTTTACCATTCTCTATATGGGTGAACAGATAAGCAAGACTAATCGGTTATTATAAAAAACTATACAGTCTGCTACTATTGTTGATATTTGTGGATACTATAAAAATCAGTCATATATTCCACTGAAGAAATTCAGACTAATAAAAAGCAAACACTGCTAAGAAAAGAAATAAAATAAAGAAAATAAGCTAATATTGTTTACTAAGTGTTACTAAGATATTATGTATTTTACATAGAAATTATTGGTAAACCAAATAGTAGTCTACAACACTGTGGATATTTTCTATCTTGCCACATGTAAGACTGCACTTAGGTCTAAAAAGACATCAAATATGTAAATGAATGTTTACTCAGTAGTTTTGCTGGTGTCGCAATTATAATTGTCATCAATTTATTTGATTTGAAAGGTCACTATCAGGTTGTCACATTTCGTGTTTCAGTAAGTTCCATTTTTAAATGATACTTTTCCACAGGTGAGAAAAGCAGGAACCACTTGTTTACTCATATTTCATATTTCAATCCGAGAGAAAACTGAGTGGACACAATAAAACTATGCACATGTGGCAAGTATGTATAATAGTACCTGATGGAAAACTATGATCAATAATTAATCTTTGCCACACAAGCACAGAAAGGTATGCATTTGCAGAAAAGCATGTTTGCATCCCTCAAAGTATGTTCTTATGATGAAATTATGCTACATTTTCCTTATTTTTTGCAGATCTAAATTAAAAATATTCGGTCCCATAAACCACCATGAGGCTTAAAAACTAAATACGAGTTGGTTTTATCTCCGATAGCAACCTTACATCTCTTTTTAATTCAATTCTATTTGCTGATACTGGCAACTTCGATTCAACCACTTTTTTACATAATATAACCAAAATAAACTACTGTGCTGTCCTAAAAATAGTTTGTCCTCAAATATATTTGCTAATTCAATGTTTTGTTCGTACCTTGATGTTTTTTGTTGTTCTTTTTGTATACTCATAGGATAAGTTGGTTGTCCATATTTGGTTTCTGATGGTTATTTTCTTTATAAATACTGAGATCCCTCTGTTTGTAATTGTGTACTGTTCCAGTGAACTTAATGAGTTAAACTGGTTACCAGTGATGTTTACAGTTATTGTTACACATTTTTTATTTAAACAGTTGCTTTTTTTGTGATTATGATATATTATATGTTATGTTATAATGGGGTATTATAATGCTATGTCCATTTATGTTTCACCGAACTTTATTTCTATAGTTTGAAAATCACTACCTTTTGATTTTGGTTTGGCTTTAGCTGAAATTATATTCCTTAAATAGTTCTTTCAATGTGTAAAAATATGTTTTTTGCTTTACATCACTGAGTTGAAATATATTTGGGCATGCTGTATGCTTTGTATACTCTGTATTCATTGGTCAGTATAAGTAGTAAAAGTAGCTTTTTTGTGAGTGTATTTTTTTTTTTAAAGAGTCGTTCCTTCCATTTCCCTTCAAAATTAAGAAAATCCTACACGGTTAACATCATCTTCAGTGGAATTTGACTGCAGATGAAAAGAAAGATAACAGCAAGTAACCATAATACATCTAAAGCTGACCCAAAATGAAAATATCTGTTTTACTGTATTTGTATGATTAACTATTTTTGTCTTTATCACACTAAATAAAAACACGCAGTCTCACAGAATTATACAGACCATAAACAACTAAAAGTTGTACCCTCTTGAGTTGATGATCCAGTCCTGGCGACAGCATGATGCAAGCAACAATGGTACCCAGCAGCAACACAAGAGCATAGATTATCCTGGGCACAGTGGAGTTTTTGCTGCTAAAACAACAGTTGTTAAATACACAGGTGGCAGAGTTCCACAAGGATGGCATCTGGGGAAGAAATAAAATCACACGGCATTGGCAAGAAACAGAAATTCCACAGATGAATGTAAATGCAATGCAATTTTTCAGATCTAGTCAAATGTTGAGAATATAATCTTTCATCTTGAGTCTATATAATGCATTAAAATTTATTTTGCTATATACCAAGTAGGTTTTACTACTCAGTGACTACACAGAACAGGAACTGCTTCTTGTGTGATATGTGCCTTGAGTGATTTGAATGAAAACAGAAACATTGAGAGGGAATTTTATTGGTAACTTTGGTCCTTGACTGAAGTCAGATCAGGTTAGTACATAGTCCAAAAAACACCAAGGGCAGATTGCATTAAGATTTCAACGAAGAAACAATTTTTACAATTTATACCATGATATTTCTTTTGACTTGCACATTCTGAAATGCATTGGTTTTCAATTATGACTTTGCATTCAAAGTGTTGTAATTTATTCAAGACTTTAATGAAGATTAAATAAAAAATTGAGTTTTAAGTCAAGCCAAGGAGGTTGAAAAACTTTCAGATGCAAGTGTAAGGATTTTAGTCGTTAGTGTTGTGTTTGGAAATTAAAAAACAATATGCAATCATGTTTGCATATTGCTACAAGACAAGGAGTTTTGTTGCTTACCAAACTTCAGAACAGAGGAATTTATAGAACAGAGCGACTATTTTGTAAGATCGTCATTGTAAATCCCAGCAGGGTCAGGCTGTTGGTCAGAGGAAGGTGGACTTTGTTCCAGTTCTTTGCCAAATAAACTGGAGTCCTAAACACCACCTGTAGCAGAGATAGCAAAAGACATAGTATTATCATTTGTGTATTTAATTGTGATTGTCATACTCTTTTGTTCCTGGGTCCTGCTGGTTGTTTCAGGCTGAGTAGATAAATTGTATCGCCCCAATTGTTGGCTCACAACACTAAATGATATAAATAACAAATCTGAATCAGAGAAATATCTTAAAATAAAAACTAAAATTAAACAAAGATTCCTTTTAGTTTATTGAATGATGAAAATGCTAGCTTTGGCTGACATTTAAAAACACAACTGAATTACTATTCAGAAACTATAAACTGAGTTTTATGGTTGAAAAATCAGCTTTTATCCAACACCAATCACAAGCATTTTCTACTAGATGTTATGGAGCCTTTCCATATTAACTATTTGTGAGCTTAAGCCATATTTAAATCAGCTCACGTCAGCAAACAAAAACTAAACACAAACTGAAGGGCTTCAAAAGCAGATGGAGCAAGACTGGACAGCTAGCTCCTTAGGTCAACACTCAGTTCAGCAGATCTTAAAAAGTAGGAACACACTGAAGCAATGTACACATTCTGGTGGTTCAGGGACACAGCCTTTGATTCTTCCTACATACTAGTTAAGAACCGATGAAATATATTCAAGAATCAAGAAAAAAAATCTACTAGTCCTCATTTGAGCTTTAATAAATCGTCAAAAGGATCACTGATACTTTGAAGACAGAGTAATATGGGAGCCCTGGTCTACTGTAAGTATTACTTATAAAGAGAAGTAGAAAATTATTACCACAGGAAACCCCCAGTGCAGGGCACTGTGTTGTGGTAGTTAGCACCATTGCATCAAAGCAAGAGGGTTCTGGGGTTTTGGGTTCAAGTCCCCGGGGGACCCAGGACCTCTCTGTGCTGAGTCTGCGTGGGTTCTCTGCGGGTACACCGGCTTCCTCCCACCATCCAAAAACCTGAATGTTAGGTTAATTGGACATTCCGAATTGCCCTTGTGAGAGAATGTGAGTGTGTGTGGTTGTTTGTCTATATGAGTATCTGCGATGGACTGGTGGACCGTCCAGGGTGACCGTCCTATTGACTGTAACAATGGGAACTATTGTTGGGAACCTTTGTTTACTTTGAGTTTGCTCACAGAAAATTTGAAGTTGAAAAGACTGGTACTTTGAGTTGTTCCCTGCACGCTGAGAATAATCAAGTTTGTTACCTGAGAGGGTGAAAACCCAAGAGAATGTGTCCATTGCAGTCAAAGAGAACAAACTTTAACGTGGTGGCAGCTGGAGAGGACTTAGCCTTCTAAAGTGAATGTTTTCTCCAATCGGAACAGAGTTAGCTGAGTTAGCTACTTTTGCCGTTAGCTTGAGACTGCTGCATGATTCTATGGAGAGACTAAAACAGCCACAAATGTTGTGCTTAGTTGCCAGCAACCTTTTGAAAACGTGGAACAATTGGGGGATGAGTTTGCCCTTTATTTGGATCTGGCGATGGCGGAAGCTGATAATAAACAGAAAGTAAAACTGGTTAGCTAGCTTGGTGGCGAGAGTGGCAGGGAACTTTTGGATACGTTGATGGGCGACACCGCTAAGGATGCATGGACAGTTGAGGACATCATTAAAAGAATTGATGATCATTGCAAACCCAGCGTGAACGAGATTGCTAAACGCCATTGTTTCTTTACAAGAAACCAGGGCTCCAGTGAAAATATAGACAGTTATGTCACTGAAATGAGACTAGCCAGAACGTGCAACTTTGGGACTTTCAGAGACTCGCTCATTCGGGATAGGATTGTGTGTGGTGCTAACAACACAAGGATTAAAGAAAGACTGCTCCTGGAGAAGAACCTGGCACCCAACACATGTTTGCAACTGTGCAGAGCTCTCCAAAGAGAAGATTAAAACCATCACCAGACGGATGGTAGAATAAGGGCATGCGCAGAGCACAGTACCACAGAGGAAAGGTAACAGTGCAGTAGAATGCTAATTCTGTGGAAGAACACATGAAAGAAATAAGCAGAAATGTCCAGCATTCTGAAAGAAGTGTGAAAAATGTAGCAGACAGAACCACTTTGCAGCTAAATATAAAGCAAGACCAGACCAAATGTGGAAAAAAATTGTGAAAGCAATAGAGACGGAATATGTGAGTGATGACTACAAAGATATAACGTGTATCAATGAGATAGTGGATGCAGTGGAGACAGACTCAGGAGCAAAGGGTTTAATAGGGAATGACACGGTTAAAAGAGACACATTCTACTAGACCGGGATATGGTCAAATTCCAAATAGACTGTGGTCGTAGTTGCAACGTAATCCTCCATTAACCTGCTGAATCCAGACACCAAGCTTGAAACCTCTAAAAGTGTACTAATTATGTACAACAGAAGCAAGCTGAGACCAATAGCGAAATGTAGCATCAAAATAAGAAATTCAAGAAATCACAAACTATATCGCTTAGAGTTCCAAGTGGTGAATACAGACGTAGCAGTACCTCTGCTGGGTAGGAGAGCCAGTGAGGCAATGAAACTGATTGAGGTACATTATGAGAATATAAGGACAATATATAGTGTTGTCCACTGTCGGAAAATACTACGAGACAGTGGACAAATCATAACAAGTTATGCTGACGTTTTCACAGGAGATGGCTGTCTTGAAGGAGAATACAGAATAGAGGTGGACAACACAGTAAAGGGTGAGAAGCTTGTCCAGGGTGAGAAACTCGGCCATCCGGGAGGGGCTCAGAGTAGAGCCGCTCCTACTCCACGTGGAGAGGAGCCAGTTGAGGTGGATTAGGATGCCTCCTGCTCGCCTCCCTGGTTAGTTGTTCATGGCACGTCCCACTGGGAGAAGGCCCAGAGGAAGACCCAGGACCCGCTGGAGGGACTGTGTGTCTTGGCTGACCTGGGAACGCCTCGGGATCCCCCCGGAGGAGCTGGCGGAAGTGGCCGGGGAGAGGGAAGTCTGGGTTTCCCTGCTTCGGCTACTGCCCCCGCGACCCCAGCCCGGATAAGTGGTGGAAAATGGATGGATGGATGGATGGAACACAGTAAAGCCGGTGCAGCTTCCAAAGAGACAGGTTCCAGTGGCTCTAATGAAACCACTGAAGGACGAGCTTAAAGACGTACAACAGAGAGGAATCATCACCCCTATAGAATGCAGCACAGACTGGATCAGTGCTATGGTGGTAGTGCAGACACAGAATGGCAAGCCAAGAGTTTTTATTTATCCCAAACCCCTGAACAAAGCACTAAAGCGCAGTCACTTCCCACTTCTAATCATTGATGACATCTTACCAGACTTGTCAAAAGCTAAAGTCTTCACCATGTGTAATGTCAAGAGTGGATTTTAGCATGTTCAGCTGGAGGAGGAATCCAGCTATTTGACAACATTGCCACTCCATTTGGCCGATAAAGGTGGCTGAGGATGCCGATGGGGATAAGTCCAGCCCCTGAAATATTTCAGAGAAAGCTGACACAAGCGTTGGACAATGTACCTGGGCTGTACATTATTGCAGATGACATTCTTATCACAGGACAAGGGGACACACAGGAGGAAGCGGAACTGGATCACGATGGAAAACTGAAACAGTTTCCCAACAGATGCAGGGAAAAGAACATAAAATTGAATGCAGAAAAGTTCCAACTGAGACAGAAGGAGACCACATACATTGGACATCGCTTGTTGGCAGATGAACTTAAAGTGGATCCAGAAAAAGTGTGCGCTAATGAGCAGATGCCAGCACCGACCGACATGAAAGCAGTGCAGAGGCTTATGGGTATGGTCAATTACCTCACCGAGTTTTGCCCTCACCTCTCCGACCAATGCAAGGTGCTAAGAGACCTGACACACAAAGAGAGTGGGTGGAAATGGACAACGGAGCACGAGGTGGCATTCCTCAAACTGAAAGAGGAATGCATTCAAGAGACAATAGTGAACGCTCCAGTATTGAAATATTAGAACTTTGATGAGGAGCTGACAGTACAGTGTGACGCTTTAGACACAGGATTGGCAACAGCACTCATGCAGAAGGGGAAGCCAGTTGCTTTTGTAAGCAGGGCATTGACGCAAACTGAGGGGCACTATGCTCAAATTGAAAAAGAGTTTCTAGCAATGGTTTTCAGCGTGGAAAAAATCCACCAATACACGTATGGCCGTACCACGTACCACAGGGTTAGACTCTAGTCCCCCCGTGACCCCATGTGGGAATAAGTGGTCCAGAAAATGGATGAATAGATGAATGGATGGATCCCCAATGCAAATCATCCAGCTTCATCTAGTTTCATCTAGTTTCTAGCCCAGCCCAGGCAAGAGAAGACAAGGCTAATTCATTTGCATTGTTCCTTTTGTGTACAAGTGCATTATATAAAAGATGATGTATTAAAAATTGAGGGTTTAAAATCAGAAAACCGTCAGTCAAACAAAATAAAACAATAAACAATCATTGATTAGATACAGTATATCAAAAATGAAGAGTGCAGATAAAATACCTTCAGTTGTCATGTGCACAGCTAAAAAGAACTGTGAACTGTTTTCAGTCTGGATTTAAACATAGTCAGAGTTGAGGCTTGTCTCACCTCTTCAGGAAGAATCTTCCAGATTGTAGGGGAATAACATTGAAATGTAGCTTCTCCTTGTCCTGACTCTGGGAACCAGCAGGAGACCAGAACCAGAAAAATATTTCACGACCCATTACGGTTTGCATGTCAAAATAGGTACTATCATCCACCTGGTTCAGAGAGCCAATTGCCATCTGGAAAAATTAGGCGGTACTTTGGAAATCATGTGCTTCGATTTCTTAATTGCTTTTAACACAATTATGTCTGGACTGTTCCAGGTGAATACCTTCATAACCACTTGGATTAATGACTACTCAACCAAACATGATCAGTTTCTCTGATTAGGACTGAAAGATTCTGTGTCTGAGATGGTGGTCAGCAACACAGGAGCATCCAAAAGGATTGTACTCTGACTCTTCCTCTTCACACTGTTCACCTCAGACTTCCAATACAAGTCTGAGTCCTGACATTTGCATAAAAACTATGATGGCTCTGTGATTGTGGGGTGTATCGGTGACGAGGCAGAGGCTGAGTATAGCCTGTCCGTTTGTGAGAGGGTGTGAAAACAATCGCCTAATCTTAAATGCCAGCAAAACAAAAGAGATTATTGTTGACTTCAGGAGGTACATGATTAAACCCTGCCCTGTTGACATCATTGGAGAAGAATTGGAAGTGGTGGAGGATTACAAGTAGGATGACAAGTAGGAATTCAGCTTGATAACAGACTAGACTGGAAATGTAAGGGACAAGAAGAAGGGACAAGGCAGCTTCTACTTCTTAAGGAAGCTGAGATCTTTCAGTGTCTGCATCAAAATGTAGTAGTCTGTTTTGGGAAGTGCAGATATTTGCTGGGGCAGAAGCATCAGAGACAACGTATCAAAGAAACGTTGGAGCTGATTGTCCAGAAAAGAGGGCTTGATAAGCTGCATAAATCATCTCTAGCATGTTCAGCGGTGCCCAAGTTGGATCCATTAACATTCCTCTTTAGGAAGAACATTGCGTGCTTGTGTGCATGAATATGGTTTCATGAATCTGGACTTTGTCTGCTTCAGTGTCTGAATAGAAGAGCCTCAGAATAACTTGGTCGTTCACTTCCAATTTCTCTTTGGTTGTTGCGCTGACTGGAGTGAGGAATCCACTTCATCAAGCTTTAGTCCAACACTTTCCCCATTTGTGACGGGGAATGGTTTTTCAGAAGGTTAAATGTATTAGTGGCATGAGGCCTGTTAAAAGAATCAATATGTATAACAGATGCATCGTAGTATTAGCCACAGTGTTCAAAGCCAACCACAACTCTACTTTGAAAATCATGGTTTATCACTATCAGTCTGAATAATGTATGAGCGCAAATATCTGCTGTTGTGCAAGTAATCCAAACTAATCCAACTCTTGTTGGTCTCATCTGAGTGCAATTAGCTAACAGCCATATTTTATTGTGTTTGCTTCATAGGATAAGGGGTTACGGCTGTAGCGTCAGCTTTTTCTTGGAAATAAATTCTCGGGTAAAGATAAGGATATCTAGTTGCACGTGTCCACCAAGCAAATTTCCATATCTGCTGTCACTCCAGCGTCACCATGTTTCGTCATGTTTTCGTCTCCAGCTTGGGTATAAAGTGTCACACAGCCAAACATAACCTCGACTCTCTGCAACACACCTCACTCTGTGCCACGCACTTTCCCTGTGGGGTTGTGCAACGGTCAGTTGGCCATGAACAAAGCAGACTTCCAAATGGATTATACCAAACATCTTTCGCTTGACATCCTGGCTGGGACCCGGATTAAGCCTGAAAACAAGGCTACCCCGGCTGCACCACAAGTTCTCCCACACCAGTCGTATACCCGGGTGAGGTGGTGGAACGGGCCTGCTAATTTCCAACAAAAGGTAATACAACCTACTGATACCAAATGTCAAAATCTGCATGATTGTAACGTATTACCCACCAGGACAACTCGGTGAGTTTCTAGACGGGCTGGACATCTTGCTCGATTACATTCCTGAGAATTTTAGCAATAGTCCTTGCTGATATGAATATCCACCATGACAGTCTTAACTTCAGATTTTTCATTCGGGGTGTCCAAAGATGAACCTCTTCTTTTGCCCCCATCGTTTCTTTCCATCATGACCTCAGCAACCTGTCACTCACCCACTTCTCCTCCCTGGTTGCCTCCGCACTTCTAACCTCCAACACTTTTCCGTAACCATTAAATTAATGAAGCCACGGAGTCTCTCCGCTCGAAACTGAGCTCTCATTTTGATAGTCTTCGTCCTCTATTCATAGCTTAATGATACACTCAGATCGCTCCACGTAAACCTAAGAGCTGAAGAAAGAAAAAAATGGCACAAATCAAGAGATCCGGCATTTCCCACAAAATTCCCGGCACATCTGTCAACATTCTCATTCAGTGTCACCGATGTAACAAAGACTCTTTTAATTTAATAGATTCATAGTACTAATGACACCCGGAAACTATTTTCCATCTTTGAAGGAGGACTCAAAAGTATTTATGGCCAAGTGTGCATTACTTTAGAAATATCTAAACCAGACCTAGAAAGACTAATCCATGCGTTTGTCTCTCAGCTCTATCTATCTAACATCCAGACTGCTGCTGCTAGAGTTCTGACCAGAACCAGGAACCAGGACCACATCAGTCCAGTGCTCAGGTCTCTGCTCTGGCTTCCTGTCTTTCAGAGAATAGACTTTAAAAAAAGCTCTGCTTGTGAACAAGTCTCTTCATTGGCAAGCACCAAAATACCTTTCTGACATGTTAGAGCCATATGAACCAGCTAGGGTTTTGAGAACTTCAGGTTCTGGTCTCCTCATGGTGCACAGATTCAGAATTTTGCTTTGTTTTCATTTAGTATTCTTTGACGCTGCGAAGAATAATTTTTAATCTGTTTATATATAGTGATGGATTGTTGTAATCCATAATACCTATAGTATTGGTGCTGTAATCCATTGGTTATGCGCATTGTTTATGCATTGGTCTCACACTGGTCACTCTCTTTTGGACAGTAGGGGCTACACTTTGTGGAAATAAATTTGATAACAGCGCTAAAGGTTTTTAAAAATTTGCAGATAATGGTAATGGTTATTGTTAGTATAAGACAGGGCTTTATTTCTGATATTGGCTCAATGGAGCATTCCTTTATAATGTCCAATCTTTTCCCCACTTTTTATGCAGGGTGTTTTTTTTTTACCGAATGACAAAAGTTCCAGTTCCACCAAAGTCATTTCAGTGCTTGACTAAAGATTAACTTAGAGCCACTTCTTTCTTTATTCAATATAAAAAACTTGGCTCTGGCACTGAACATTTTAAATAAATTAGGACCAAATTGTTGAGTGAGTCATCTATCACTGCAAAAATATCCATATACACACACACATCCAATGTTTCTTCCTAAAGAGTTATATATGATTGACAGTTCTACAAACATGCCCGCCATCAAATTGGATCCTATGGCGGTGTACATGCCTATTTTCTGTAAACACACACGCAAGTACACAAGGATTGCTAAGTTATTATTACTGCTAAGCCTGACAAAGTTCTTAGTTTTAGACGTTCATAGGAAAGATCTGCATCAGTATGTTGGAAATAGATCAAATAAAATGTATGGATTAAAGTACATACATACATACATACATACATACATACATACATACATACATAC